TAGTAAGTGCTAGAACTCTATTTAAATTTGACATGATCGGGGTACTGCTTCGGGTAGCTGACATACAACTTCACAATTTATTTGGCTATATCTGAGAAACTGTAAAAACTATGGTATTGAAATTTCACACAAGTGAATATATTAGTAGGGGCGATGTGTTTGATAAAAACCGTTGAAATTGCTTGGCTCCTTCGCGTACATGCCATACAACTTCAAAAGTTATTTGGCTATATCTTAGAAACTATAAAAGCAATGGTATGGAAATTTCACACAAGTGAATACATTAGTAGGGCTGATGCGCTTGATAAAAGTCGTTGAAATTGCTTGGCTCCTTCGCGTACATGCCATACAACTTCAAAAATTATTTAGCTATATCTCAGAAACTATAAAAGCTATAGTATTGAAATTTCACACAAGCGAATATAATAATAGGGCCGATGTGCCTGATAAAATTCGTTAAAATTTCTTGGCTCTTTCTGGTAGCTGCCATACAACTTCAATAGTAGTTTGGCACACACAGTATTTTGAAGAACACAGTACTGAAATTTTGCATAAATTAATATGGTAATACAACAACTTAAAGTCATGGTCTGCCCTGTACTCAGTTATGGCATATTTATTGGCACGTAGGATAACAAATTCTTATGGGTATCACAGAGTTGACAAGATCAACTCTATTTTTTTTCGTTTTCAATTATTATTAATAAATTTTTAAACGGCGCCCTAGTTTTAAGGCACTTGCCGCAAGTACACATTTTACACGTATAGTGGATTCGATCATGTACATGTTAACATAACTATATTTAATATACATTTACATAACGTACACATATACTCGTATGTGTATACAAAAAAATTAAGAAACAAAATTTTACTGTTTTTTTTATTTTGGTTTTACCCTTGATAATAATAAAAAAAATAAGTTCGATTCTCTTATTCAGCATGTTTGCTGAATATACATACATACACATGTATGTTTTTGTTTATAGAATTCTACAAAAATGATAGAACTCCAGTTTAATTTTAAATTGTATAACATGTTCTTTAATTTAATAAAACATTTTTTGCTGTTTTCAGAAAAATTAACATTTTGAAAATTATTTCCCACAGTTTTTAATATTATTTTGAACTGAAAGCAAAATTATTTTCGTTTATTCCATTTTATAACTCTCTACCTCATACACCAAATTACTTGTAAGCTACTTTTGATATTTTTATTCTCCGTACATAAATTTATGTCTGCCATATTCGTTCCTTCATCCCTCCATTCTTCCATGTACTATGATTTTCAAGGATAGGCGAATTTATTTATAATTTTTTTTTGCTCTTTTGTGCTTCGTTTTTGTTATTTATACGACTTTTTGTCTTCTTTCTTTGTTTTTAATGTATGTCAATCTTGATCCTCGAAGAATATTTACAGGTAAAAAATTTCCTTCTCATATTTTCATACCTCCAACTTTCTTTTTTGCCTTCTCCACTTTTCTCTTTAGTTATTTTATTTATATTTAGGTATATCTCATTTTGTTTCTATTTTCCTTTTTATTTTTAATATTGTGATGCCTCGTTTCGTGATTTTTAGAAATGAAAATACGCGTGCACATGATTATTTTATGAGTTAGGTAAATATTTTCGTTACTAAAACAATGACAAAAACAAGCAAAAAGAAACCGAAAAAAAATAAAAACAAGAAAAAAGAAACAAAAAAAAAAAAATACAACAAAAAAAATAACTAAAGCAAGCGATACAACCCTCTTTTAAAACGGAGCGATACCTTAATTTATTCGTTAAGTGACATTTTGAAAAATGACATCAAAACGATGTGAAATTTAAAGGAAAAAAGGAATATTATATTGTAGGCCTCCGGCTCAGTTCGATAAAAAAATTTGGAAGGAGTGAACGGAAAGGTATCTGCATACCTTTTAACAACGCTAAAATAAAAACAAAGTTGCTGTCAGTCAATGCTACGCGAAAATCAAATTAAGTTAACTCAGAATTTTGAACAAAAAATTTTAAAACTTTTCCCACAAAATTTTTTTTCTTAACTTACAAATCTGTTAAGCTATAATTTATCAATGTTAATATAATATTTCCGTTCATAATATAGTAATTTTTCATAGAATTAACTATTGTAAACTGTTTAACACAATATGCCTTCATTGAAAGATGAAAGAAAGTGGTTGCATATTTTGTCAACATTTAATTAATGTGTAAAATTTGTAATTTGAAATTATAAAAAACTACAAATTTTAAGTCAAAGGTACAGGAAAAACCAAGCTATGTAAAAAAAACTGGTGAATAAACAAAACTCATGACAGCATTAGTAAATAATTTATGAACGCCTTAAGAAAATTTGATCAAAGGCTGAAATATTTTATAAAATTATTATTCTAAGAAATTAAACCCTATATAGGTTTTTCTACGCATACTCGTATTTGTAAATTTTCTCTATAGAGTAATACAAAATGTACTGTAACATTGATTTCTTTCCAAAAGAAACCTACAGCTTGTTAAACCTTTTACCGTAACTCTTTATTTTTATAAATACTTGTACAATCAAAAAGGGTGTTTGAAACATAAAACAAATCAATCAAAATTCATTAATAATAACCTACGCTGTTTTTGTAATATGAGCTCCTTATTCTATTTATATAGAAAAGTTTCTTCTGTTTAGTTTATTTTTAGAACCAGTCCCTTAAATTTATTCAAACCAATATGAATATACTAGTATATTAGAAAATTATACAAAAGAAATTCATTATACATAAAATATTATATACGAGTACATACATAAATAAAAATTTAAAATCAAGAACCTTAATAATATGACAACACCATTTTTACCTCATTTAAAATTTTTAACATATTAAACTATACGCCTTTTAATGTATTCAAATTAAATGTTAAAATTAACTATTAAATTTTGCGTGTCTATAAATCTTTTAAACCTTTTTTTTGAGAGAATATATTATGTAACATATACGAGTACATAAATTTTACAATTTTTTTACAATATGTACATAAAATTCTTTTTTTTTTCGATTGATTTCCACTTCGTTTTTAGTCATGAAACCGTGTTTGATTAGGTAAGTTTGGAACGAAATTATTTTTGTTTAATAAGGTTTACTGACATTTGAGAACTAATGTTTTTTTTCCTTTTTGATATAGCATTATGCCAATATATAGGTTAATTCTATTCAAATTATTTCCTCTCAATGAATATGCAAGCATAAACTTCCTACATAATGTTCACATACAGGTACTATTCATATCATCAAATTGATTATGACACTGGATAATGTAGCTTGTAATTAAAGATAGTTGTTATAAGTCATGTACTGATATAAGCACACCTAATATATTAAGTTACACATATATTTATAATATGAGAGGTTATATGACTAACATATATATCCAAAAGTCTTATTGGTTAATGTACTTAGTAGTATTAAATAAAAATTGAATAAGTACTTCATCTCTTATTTAAGTCTTAAAATTTGAATATTGGAAATTTTATATGCACATCTTTTAAAGCTTAAACCAAAATTATTAATATTAATCATTATTTAATACCTTATGATAAAAGCCTTACGCTGAGAATATTAATATTACCTTTTGCGTTATAAATATATATATGTATGTACATATATACATATATGTATACATTTTCATTTAAAATACATATGTAATTTTTTATGGTGTTTATAGTATACTTTTGCGTACGCAGTCGTATCTAATTTTGTGATTGCAAAAATGTTATAAAATAGATGAATATATTCAAAACCAATGCAAAGATACATATAAAGATGCTGAACCATTCATGCTCATAAGATTTGAAGCAAATTAAAGTCAAATTGAAGAACGTTGCATAGTAGATAGTTTATATAAAATTTTAAAATACGGATGTATTTATCTAATGATCTATTAAAGATCAATTTAATTTTCAAGGCTTACTTAAGTAAAAATTATAATAATCTTCAAAAAAATACAAGACTATACAAACAAAATTTCATTGAAATATTTCTGTAAAATCTCAATATATTATTAAACCTTTATGTATAATAGTCTGTTGAATTAAATTGTCTGTTGAATGAAAGTGATGAGATCGAAAAAGAATGATATAAATAAATCACCATAGTAATACAAAATAGAAGAACTTTATTTATGAACCATTCAACAGCAATACCAATTTAAAATTAGAATAGCCCTGCAAAGCAAATTATAAAAATCTAATCTGGCTAATGATATATGACTAACAACATTGCATATTTTATAAATAATATAATAAACTATTAAATCTTCTGGCTTTAGCTCATCAAAAAGCAAAAGAAAGATTTCTCTAACATTTCTGTTAAAACTCGATATGTGAAATTTGTGAGTAAGTGTAATATTACCGTTATTACATAGAGTTCAGGACAGCAAAAAAGAACTGAAATAAAAAGTAAAAAGTCATTTTAACAACTCATATTGATATGAATTTTTTACGGCTACATCTTTGAAAATACTAAATTAATACATTTTTACTTTTCTTGGTTTTCATTTTGAAATTGTATACTTGCAATTACATATATATAATTTCTACAGATTTTGAGTAACTCCAATAAAAACAAAAGTTGTCGTACCCATATCAAACTTCCAATTTACAATTTGCTTCTCTTTTTTTTATTAAAAAATAATTTTATTTCTAATGGTTAATAACACCACACACACTCAAATTTAGATTCTGTTTTAAGTAATACATTTTTTTATTAAAAAAAAAAACAATGAAATTTAAATTTTTTAAATTTTATTCTACATAAAATGCAAAATTGAACAAGTAATAAAAAATGCTACACAAATTTAAAATTTACATTTATTTCATTTTTTCATTAAAATATTAAAGCTCAATTTCTCGATATAAATTATAATCGCGTTTAAATTAGTAAGTTAACTAATAATTTAAATTTTATGTTACGAGTATGTAAACTTTTTCTGTGATTTTTAACAATGTAATTTTTTTCCAGATTTATATTACAAATGTTAGAGGAGGAATATTTAACACTAGTGAAGTTTTATCCGGTTCATGGCCCACTGAAAGCGAGTTAGAAAATGAATTAGAGGTGAGTATATTCATTTTAATTTTAAATTTTTTATTTAGTTTAATCTTTTATTCAACAATTTTGCTCATAAAAATATGTATACGTAAATTTAATAGTTTGACAAAATTAATATATGTGCATTAGTTGTTATCGTTACAAAAATAAATATTAGTGCATATTTAAACTAATTTTTTCAGTTTTTTTTTCTTTAATTAAAAATTTATAAAGAATACGGTTGCGCGAAAACTTAATAAATGTAAAATTATATCCGGCTGCAGTAACCATTTCAATTTTGAAACGAAATTTCATCGATTTTTATCTCACAAAACAGCCGCAAAAATATATTTGTTTGTGCGAAATTTCTATATTTATGAGATAATTTCTGAAATACAGCGAAATAACGTTTAAAGTTGTAGGACAACTACCCGAATCCCTACCGCAATCACATTCAATTTTAATTCGGTTCCGGTATTTACTATCATAAATCGTTTGTGAAAATTTGGTGAACTTTGATTAATTTGTTTTTGAGTTATCCCTGGGTGGGACAGACAGGTCATAATGTTTTTTGTGCATTCTACTATAATTCTATTGTATAAGTAAACATGTATGTTTATTTATATAATATAATTTGTATCGTAATTTCGTCTACAAATGCGTATAAAAGTAAAGATGCGTATTGTTTATACATGTTGTGTATACGTCAATTATTAGAAATTTTTTAGAAATGAATGAATCATAACTCAAAATTTTCGAAAACACAAGAGCAAAATTTATTTAAATTTTAAATTTTTTTTACATTAAAAAGCAAATACATAATTATATGAGGTGCGCCTGCAGAAAATATTAAAAACTTTAAAAGAAAAAAGAAACAGGATTCGCATATCAAAATAATAAGAATTATTTTTTTTAACTATTAGCAAAAACGAGCCAAAAATACACAATGGTCACCGTGGTCGAATTGGTCAACATGTTCCAGATCATGTGACGGTGGTATTTCGCAACAAATAAGACGCTGTAATGCACCAAATGGTTGCAAAGGTGATAATATACGTTTTCGTATATGTAATATGCAACCATGTCCGGAGCAACAAGATTTTCGTGCTTTGCAATGTTTAGCATTTAATGATGTGCCATACGATGGTGTTTTATATAAATGGACACCACATTATGATTACTCCGAACCATGTTCCTTATTTTGCAGGTAATTAATATGAATCAGAAAGTGTTTTTTTACAGTACAAATCGTTGATAACATGCCAAAGTTGGGGAAATTTCTATTTAGTTATAAATCCTATTGCAATTTTTAGTTCATTGCGCTTCTTAACAAGAATGTATAACAAAATATTTATTGAAATTTCGATTGTATAATATTTGAATGAAAACAAGAATTTCTATATATAACTAGGTTTTCTAAAACCCTAAACTACTTACAAAATATTTTTGCTTCAAAAAGCCATACATTTTAAATCATATACCTCAAAATGGTCTTCCTTTTAATTTGTACTCTTAAGCACATATTGTGCCATTATACTTTTAAATTGCTGTATTGGTGGTATTCATATTTCAGTTCTAATAGAATTGAAAAAAGGATAGTTGATAATTTCTGAAATTCATATACTTTCTACTGCCTCAAGCAGTAAACAACAAATCCACAATGCACAACAAATAAACAGATAAAAGATAATAAATAAAAGATTGCGCTAAAATCTTCCAAAATAATTACTAAAACTATCAATCGGGTCTCATGAAATATTCATAAAAGTCTGTCAGAGTATATTAACTTTGAAAAGAAAATTTTTCATATAGGTACGTACATACTTAAATCATCTAGCAAAATTTTACAATTTGTGTTATTTTATCTATTTTTTTTTCATTTAAAATATTTTTATGACTGTTCTCCGACTAAATTATATGGTTTGATAGTTAACACAAAATGACTTGCGGATCTGAATATACATATATTAACTTTCAAATGAAAGTTAATGAAATTAAATGAATCATGACGATATTTGCAAAAAATTATTCTTCATGACGTTGATTTGTTTGTACATCACATAAATGAATATAATATACATTATAACTATATTTAAATACGAGTACTGCCTCAAAGTACGATAATATTTCCACATATATAAATATATTGTAAAACTATTGAAAAACGTTAAACGTGAAAACGTTAACGTTATGAAAACTGAGTTTCAAATTTAATTGAATTTAACGTTTTAAGAAAGTTTTAAAATTGTCATAGCAAAATTTATTTTTATCATTTTATTAAACATGCATTTAGACAAGTAAAAAGACTCTAAAATATAATAGTTATTATTGAGAAAATATTAATTTACATAAGATTATATACATAGTGTTAGTACTAATGTATTGATAGCAGTAAAATTAAGACTTTTAAATATCATATGGTGTATCAGTAAAAATTTGATTTCAAAAAATGGAAAGATAAGAGAATTTCTTTTTTAAGCTTCTAATATAATTCTTGAGATACTGCATCCTTGTAAAAAACGTTAATAAAAAAATAAATTTCAGACATAACAATAAACTGAAAAGTAAGGTTTTACTCGTAGTTGAAAAAAACATTTTTTTCATCAAGAATTTATTTTACGATATTATTATTTTTAAAATAAAATTTTCATTATAAAATTTTGTTTTTATTTTATATAATTTCATTTTAAGGGGGAGACCAGCTCACTTGCCAGACGATGAATCAACAATTCATTCTGATGGTGATGAATTGGGACATTTTGATGAACCAAGCGTCATAGTTCAATTATCAAATCGGGTCCAAGATGGTACAAGATGTCGAATGGGTAGTTTAGATATGTGTATTCAAGGAAAATGTCAGGTAAATTGATTAACAAACTTCGTTTTACGAGTATTAATCGATTTTCAATCGATTCAGCACATCACCGACCGCAATGTGTATTGTCTAGTTAAGTGAAAATGTTACAGAATATTATAAAAATGCCTGTTAAATACTTCTTTCTAATTTTTAGCACATTAGTAAGCTTATAGTTAACATCCCAGAAAAGTGTAAATTTGACTCTTAGTAGAGTTTCGCTTTGTGCTACCCGAATTCCCTGAAATGCTCGCCAGTTAGTTTCGGTAAATACCGGAACTCAAATTCCTATCCCCACCGAGTCAAAAGCGCTTATTATTTCGTTTTCTGTTACTTAGATCTCAAATTATATAAATAAAGCTATAAAGAGAAATGTGCTTAATATGAGGTTGGAAACTATGGGTTTAATCAGCCTCGTTTTCATGTTTACCACATTTTAAAACATACTTAAAATATTACTTAATGATTGTTACATTCAATTATTCTTAGTAATTTATCAACTTATTGTTATATAGCTAATATGAAAAGTTGAAATAATTTTAATAATATTTTGCAACAATTAGGAACATTTTTCTATTAAATCAAAACTTTCCTAAAAATAGAAAGAATTTTACTTCATTTTTGTCTTTTATTTTTATACGAATAAAAAATTAATTATTTCAAATCCTTCTTGAAAAGCAAAAAGAAAAAAAAAGTCCCAAAATTAAAATAAAAATTTCCAATTCATGAATTTTGGAAAAAAAAATCTATTCCGCTTTTTTGTTAATATTTTTAGAATAATAAAAACAAAACCGCATCAACATGAACAAAATACCTGAATTTTTGAAAATGGTTGAATAATTTCTGGAATTTTCTATTTTATGTATATTAATTTTTTTTCTTCATAATATTCGTATTTTTCTGAAATTTTTTAATCCCAAAAAGCGCATTTTTTAACCCTGAAAATATTCCTAAATAGCAAAAAAAAGAAAAGCATAAAAAATTCAAAAACTTAGAAAATATTTACGCTATCATGGATCCTGTGCTCTCTCTTCCTAAAAAAAATTGAAAATGGAAAAAAAAGAAAAAATAACGATAAAGAAGCAAAAATAAAGCAAACATTAAAAAATAAAAGCAAAAATAAAACGTTAAGGTTTCGTATTAAAATTATTTGAACCGTAAACGTTCATACACCTGTGTGTACAGTCTCTTGCACATTCATATACACATGCCTACATATACACATGCCTACGTTATATAAGCTTATAGTTTTAAATAAATATTTTTTATAGTTTTTATTCTCTAAATCTATAATCCGAATAACTTTTTAAATTTTACAATTTGCAACCAACCCTGAACAGTTATTTGGCACTTAAGGGTTATATGAATATTTATTCGTATTTTTCTGCTTTAAACTCATATAGTGTAGATAAAAACGCGAACAAATAGGTAATGTGCAAATTTGTATGTTTATAATTTCGAATATCGAGTTTTTATGAAATTCTCGCTATAGTTTATCTAGTATTCGAAGGGTTTGTTTCATATTCAGTTTACTGTTGTAATTTAAAGTCAACGAATTAGAAATATAAGAACTAAAAAATACATCACTTAATTTTGTTTTTTTTTTGTTCTTTATTAATGCTTTAGTTTTGTTCAATATACCTACATAGTATTGTGTAAGTACAATACATATTATGTACACATATACATATAATATATTGGCACATACTATGCATTTCTCACTTCTATTTAAAAAAAAATGTAAATATTTTTATATTTTTTATTTATAGCGAGTTGGTTGTGATTTAAAAATCGGATCAATGAAAAAAGTTGACGCGTGTGGAGTGTGCGGGGGTGATGGTACAACATGTACACAACCGTTATATCATTGGGATATGACACCAATGTCGTTATGCTCGGCTACCTGTGGCGGTGGTAAGTTTTGAATATTATTTTAAATGATTGTATATGTACTATTAGTATGTTTGCTGGCTCATTTTTACCTTCTATTCCACTGCATGTATATGTCCTCCCTTTTTCATTACCTTCACATTCTCTTTCGTTCTTTATTTTAATCTACCACCCCTTTCGATCCTCCAGTCCTATTTTTTCTAACATTTTCTTTTTATTTATTTTCATTAGTATATTCACAGTTTTATTTATTTATTTATTTATTTATTTTCTAAACATTTTTCTGCTCTACTTATGATTTTCTTTCACACTGTCATAATGGAAATATTCATATTATTATAATATACTTTTAAATATATTTGTATTCATGTATTTCGAGTTAACGAGAAAGAGGGAACAAAAATGACAAGTAAAATATAATATTATATTACCTGTTCATGTTCCTATATCTACCATTTTTTTTATTATATGACGATTTTTACACATCTCAAAAATACTTTTACGATAGCTTTTTAGACTTTTGACAAACGTTTTTTAGTCATTTTCTTTATTTTCTAAATTTTTAAGTCCAGTTCAACCCTGTGAAGGCTTAATCTATTTTTGTTTTCTTTTTATATGGATTTGCATATTTTTCACCAGCTTAGCAAAAAAGGAACCGAAGAAACTCAAAAAAGAAAAGCAAAAAATACATTTTTTTCATATTTAATGGTTTGTATATAATAGTATGCCATTAAATACAAACAGGCCTAAGTTTAAAATGTGTTCAATATTACCGGAACCAAAAAAATAAAACTTAAATATCGTTTATGAAGGAAAAGTATCTATGGCTTCAGTTTATGTTTTTTCCTTTTTGCTTCAAAATTGAGAAAGCCTCTAAAATCTCGTCAAAATGTTGAACTTTTATTTACTCGCCATGCAAATTATTTAACAATTTGTCCATGTATATGTTAGTTTTAGGTTATCAAAACCAAAATTAACAAAAATAACAAAAAATTGTCACAGTCGCTGTAATTGAAGTGACGATATTATCGGTTTTTTGCAACGAGAGAAACACAAACTTAATAATTAATTGTAAATTAAACAATTTTTTTAACGCTAGTACATGATATAAACTGAGAATCGAGAAATATTCCTCTATTTTTCGCTTTCAAGAATTTCGTTATTTTGAAGTATTTTTAAGTATATTGGAATAGACGTGCTTGATTTGAATACTTTCTGTAACTGACTTTATTAAATTGAAATTTTATAAACGAAAAAGATTTTGTAACGTTGGAATCAGCTTCGTTCCGCAAATTGATAAAAGCCATATTGTTTATTAAATTCGGAGGGTTATGCGTTATACACGAGTAACTTTAATTTGAACTAAAAATGATAAAAACTTAATAACTAAAGTTAATTTTTACTTCAATAATCACAGTGTAATAGAATCACTTTTTTTACTTAGCTCCACAAAATCTTGTCCTTAATAATAACAAAATATATGACATATTCATTTATTAAAAGATGGTAACCTTATTTTATTCTTATGCACATACATATATGTGTATATAAACGTATACAGATTTTTAAGAATATTGCATTTCTAAATGGAAAAATTATTTTTTTTTTGTAAAAAAATAAATTTTAAGTCTTAATGAATTTTTTGGCAATATTTATGACTTACTTGTCAAATATATCATGGCGATTTTACCTTTTTACATATTTTTTTCTATATCTCTTCTGCGGCACATTTCCGAAAAAAGTTTTAATTAGCTTATTAGAAATTGTTTGTCTGTCGCTTCGTTTTTCTCTTCTTTTAATGAAAAAAAACGAAAATAGCCAAAATATTTATTATTCTTCTAGTTCTTCAAAATAGTGAAGATAAATATAATTTTCGATTTTAATATTTCAATTTATTAAATCTTGAACGCCAAAGACTATTTTCAAGTTTGGCTCGACTTATTTCCTTTATATCATAAAATATTGTAGATTAATATGGAAAAGGTTAGTCCTTTAATTTAATTTTTATTTTAACACGATTTTTCTGTTACTTTACACGTACAAACAAATGTTTGTATCATAAAATTATTTCTTCGTTGGTTACGCTAAGAAATTGGCGTGTAAAATATGGGCACAAGTCTATGGTTTTTATCAGAGTCGATTTCTGAGTCGATTTACCCATGCCTGTTCGTGCGCCTGTCTAAAAATTTTAAAAAATACTGTTTTTATCTTAAACAGCAATAAATCTTTTGGTTAACTGCCAAATACTTTTTGAGAAAAATTCGTACTCCACTTTTTCTCGTTTTCGGGCTAATTGTACTAGAAGAACAAGAACAGTTTGCAGATATCGATAATTTTCTTTTAATTTATTAGGACAAATCTTTCTAACTGCTTAATTATTTCCTCTTAAAATTTAAAGTATGTCAATATTTTTCGTCACTTGTTTTTACAAAACAATAATCTTTACAAAATCTTCTATTAAAACAAGTGGACAACATTAATCATCTTCTCCTAAAAAAATATACTCTGATTTATTAACAAATTATTTTGAGTTTTTCTCCTAAACTTATGCAACATTGTATATTAATATCAGAAAATTATTTACTAAAGATAACATAAATGTTTTATTAGAGAGAAATGTGCTATTTTACAAACCATGGGTTTGTGTGACTAGATATTTTAATTTTATTTCTTTTAGAACGTATTGTTAATGATGCAAAGCCTTTTTTAACTCTACAAAATATTTTCATTTAGAAAGTGTGTTCTACAATATTTTGTACCGGTGTATTATAACTATATTGTACGTATGTATGTGTATATTCCCATATTGTATTTAAAATAGCATCTACAGTATAATTTATAAAGTTATTATATAGTTCTAGTTATAAATATAGCTATAAACAGAAAAAATAGATTTATTTTAAATAAAAATTTCAATAAATTAAATATATATAAACAAATACACATACATAACATATACTTATATTGTATAGACATCTTAAATGCTGCTGTATATAAAAGTACATATTTAAAAATTCTAGCTTTACATTTTGCAATTTCTTATTTTGTACTTCTATATTGTAAAACGTTGTCTGGAAACACACACTCTTATTTTAAATAAAGAACTTGTACACATTCATATTTACGTTTTACTATTCTTAAATGGCTTAATTGAAAATTGCATTAATAGCATATAAATATAATATACGGTAAATAATATTAAAATTTCAATTAAGTTTAATTAATTTTTGAAATAAAAAAATAAATAAGCGAAAAATATAAAAACGGATTTTTTTTACAAAATATGTATATGAATAAGGTTTATTTTTATTTTTCACACAATTCTTTTTAATTGAAATATAAAAAAACAAAAATCTAGTAGGTAAATAAGTTATAATTTTAATTTAGTACAAAAAACTTTAGATACAAATTTTTTATGAAATTTAATTTTAGTTGCATAATTCTTAAAATCATACTTATTATTAGTTTCACTTTGTCTCCTACACACTTGAAGATAGAAAGCTGAAATTTCATATCTAAATAGACCCTTACTACAAACTAATTTCCGTGGAAGAAAATTTTTACCTAAGCCCACCCTCTAAAAGTTATAGCCCCTCAAAGACGTTAAAATGTAATTTTTTGACTGCTTGTTTTAAAGAAGCCATAAAGATTTTCCGAATTTTCTTAACGCGGAAAAGTAGAGTCAGGTTTTTTCAACCGTTACATAAATAAATATAAAAAAACAAAATATAGCTGCTAATATTAACCGATATCTCAAACTCTTTTTTTTCGAATAATTCCTATTGTTCTTCTTCTAGATCATAAGTTGTAGGCCGTTCAGAGTTTTGGCAGCTTTTAGATATTAGTAAATAGTTTATTCTTTCAGAACCAAATTTTTTTCCACCTCCACCCTTCTCAAGCTTCTCCTCTTGGAATTTTGAAAAGTTGTATTTTTGGCACTTCATATTTCCCAAACTGCAAGCTTTCCCAATTTTTTATAAATGCAGAAAGCCAAGAGTAAACTCCATACCACCAAAAAATATAATTATTTTTCGTAACTCACGCAATTAACCCTTAAATTCGAGTATTATTTTAACGACTCTTTCAATTTAATTTTTACCTCATCCTAAATGCATGCAATCTTCGATATATTTTAGTATATGAATGAAATTAAGTTAAATATACTTGCACTTGGTGAAGGGGAAAGTGCTATTTTAGAAACCTTTGTTTTGAGCTGACTTTATTTAGAAAAAGTTTTACAGATTCATTATTTACCTTGTACATTGCTTATTTTTAAACGAACTCGCATAAAAATTTGATTTAGTTTTGACATATTTTCCAAGCCAATTTCTTTATATACACATCTGTTGGTAAAACGAACAAGGATACAAAATCAACACAACATATACACATTTATCCTAAGATGATATAATTCTTGTTCATTTTATCAATATATTTATTACAAGGTTTTTAAGCTCTCTGTAATCCTTATGGATTTTATTGTTTTATGAACTAGCTTTTTGTTTGTACAAAAATTTGGAAAAGCTATAGCCATTTCGGAAACATGGTACTTAAGACTCAAATTTTGCGAATTTCGTAGGAGGCGAAAATTATGGATGGGTTGGAGGTAGGAAAAATTTTGTTCGAACGAAAATAATTATTTATTATTTATTAGAGTTTCCTGCTATTTAATCGTTAATTTCAAAAATTATTTTGTTATTTTTATGTTTGATTATACAATCGTGAAATACCTTTCTGAGCATCTAACAATATTCACAATCGAGGCAGCTGAAGCCGCTGACTGAGAGAGGGGCTTAAACGTTCTTCTTCGGTCAAAAGTGCTTTTGTACAATTGGGTCATATACTGTTTATTGGAAACTAAGTCTCCTAGTATGATACTCTCGCTCGTAGGAGAAGGAAAATACTGAAGAGTTTTTCTTTCATTACGGTGGAGGTGTGGTCTTTCAGGCCTCACAATGTGCTCGAGTTCATCAGGAGTTTCATCCACTCTCAGATGAGGTGGAGGACACAATAGATCCTTATAC